CGTAGAGTATATTTTAATATGCGTACATGGAGTATGACTTATTCTAATTAGAATCCCATTCTTGTGGTTGTACATGGTGTGGAGTGCCACAGTCTGGCTGGGCACAATTCAGGAGCCACTTGTCAAAAGAAACGAACTTTATTTTTAGAACACACACACCACACCACACAGCTCTTCAGGAAAACCCTCAGAGCCCAACTGCCACCAYGGCTTCCCACAAGCCTCTCAACCTCCCCCACCCCTCCTGCTCTGGAGGCCGATTGGCTGGGTCGCGTGGGCGGAGCCAAAAAAAGTCCCCCAATGAGCAGCTCCGTGGTCTGAAAGGGCAGGGAAACAGCCCAATGATCATCACCGCAGAGGAGCCAATCAGTTGGCAGCTAGAAGTTTGCTGGGGCCCCTTCGGCTGTGGCTCTCAACAGTGGAGTTGCATTGGTTGATGTTCATATATGAACATAGGAAAGTTATGTCTGATTCATTCCACTGTCATTTCTATYCCCATCCTTCCTCCCTTCCCTTCATCCCCTCTGTTTAATCCAATGAACTTCTATTATTCCACACCCACCACTTACTGTGTTAGCATCCACATTATTGGAGATCATTTGGCCCTTGTTTTCTGGGGGGACTGGCTTATTTCACCTAGCATGATAGTCTCCAGTTCCATCCATTTACTAGCAAATGCCATAATTTCATTCTTCTTTATGCCAGAGTAATATTCCGTTGTGTCTATATACCACATTTTCTTTATCCATTCATCTGTTGAAGGGCACCTAGGTTGGTTCCACAGCTTTGCTATTGAGAATTGAGCTGCTATAAGCATTGATGTGTGACTGCATCACTGTAGTATGCTGATTTAAAGATCTTTGAGTATTTACCGAGGAGAGGGATAACTGGGTCAAATGGTGGTTCTAATCTAAGTTTTCTGAGAATCTCCATACTGCTTTCCAGAGTGGTTGTACCAATTTTCAGTCCCATCAGCAATGTATGAGTGTCCATTTTCCCCCACATCTTTGCCAACATTTATCATTACTTGTATTGTTGATAGTTGCCATTCTGATTGGATTAAGATGACATCTCAGTGTAGTTTTAATTTGCATTTCTATAATTGATACAGATGTTGAACATTTTTTCATATACTTGTTGACCATTCGTATTTCTTTATCTGTGAAGTGCTTGTTCAGTTCCTTTGCCTATTTATTATTTACTTATTGGTGTTAAGAAATTCTTTGAGTTCTTTGTATATCCTGGAGATACGTGGATCGCTTACCTCCTCTGTCCTTTATACTCCAACTCTCACGGTACATCAACATGCTGCATAAACAACTCAATACAATTTTCATTTTAAGTACGCATTGAATTTTAAAGAAATGCAAAGGAAAAGGAGTCTCATATTTACCCAATTTATTATTTATGGTGCATTTATTCCTTCCTGAGGACATTGGGGCTCTGTCTATAATTTTCAATATTCATTTTATTTCTATTCTTCAAATTGAATAATTTATATTGATAAATCTTACAGTTCACGGATTCTTTTTTCTATAAGTGCAAAATTCTACACAAGTCCATCCAGTGAATTTTTGATAGTGTATTTTTTAGTTCTAGAGATTCCAATTTTAATTGTTCCTCACTGAGGTTTTCTATTTTTATTCATTACTAGTGTGTTTTCCTTTGGGGAAGGGCTAGAGCAACTGATCTGAAGTCCTGGTCAGCTTACAGCTGTTCCTCTAACAAAATGCAGTCTGCTGCTAACCACTGCACTCAGGGAGCATCACCATAAAACAAGTTATGCAGATCTTGTTTTTCAATGTGTATAAAAGTTGTATTTATACTATACTGTATTCTATGAAGTCTACAAAAACATTGTGTCTAAAAGTGCACAAACCTTGATTTTAATATGCTTTATGGATAAAACAAGCTAACAGCCACCTGAGTCTTCAGCGGGCTGTGACCTTTTTGCTGGTGGAAGGTCTCGTCTCTGTAGCTGGCTGCTGACTGGTCAGGGCAGTGGCCACTGTAGGTTGGGCTGGCTCTAGCGATTTCTTAAAATAAGACAGTAATAAAGTCTGCCCTGTTGATTGACTCTTCCTTTCCTGAAAGATTCCCCTGTGGCGACTGATGCTATTTAACAGCATTCTACCCACAGTAAAACTTCTTTCAGAACCGGAGTCGAGCTCTCAAATCCTGCCCCAGCTGCGTCAGCTAGGGTTATGTAACATTCTAAATCCTTTATTGTCATCTCAACAATGTTCACAGTATCTTTGTATTAGTAGATTTCATCTTCAGAAACCTCTCTGCTCACCCATAAGCAGCAATCCCTCATCTGTGAAAATTTTACCATAATCACATGCTCAGGTTCCAGGGCTAATTCTGGTTCTCTAGCTATTCACTCCACCACATCTACAGCTACATCCTCCACTGAAGTCTTGAGCCCCTCAGAACCAGACAGGAATGTTAGAACCAACTTATTCCAAACTCCTATTATCTTGATATTTTGCCCTGTGCCCATGAACAATGAATGTTCTTAGTGCCATCTTTCCAGAAGGTTTTCAATCTACTTTGCCCAGATCCATCAGAGAAACTTCAGTCATTGGCAGCGATAGCCATTTGAACTGTATTATCCATAAAACTTGAAATTACAATTACTCCTTGATCCATGGGTGAGTGCTATGTTAGGGCATGAAGACATGTTAACCTCATTAATGTCCATTAGAGCTTAGGTGACCAGGTGTGTGGTCAGTGAGCAGTGTATTTTTGAAATGAATATTTATTTTTTCCCTGACCATTAAGCATCAGTGGGTTTAAAAGATTCAGTAAACAATGTTGTAAACAGACATGTTGTCATCCAGGCTTTGTTGCTCCATTTACAGAGGGCACAGGCAGGGGACAGTCAGTATAATTCTTAAGGGCCCTTGGATTTTTGAATGGCAAATAAGCATTGGCTTTAGTGCCAAGCCACCAGCTGGGTCAGCCCCTAACAAGTGAATTAGTCTGTCCTCTGAAGCTTTAGAGCCAGGCATTGACTTTTCTCCACCTGTAAAATGTCCTAGATGGTACCTACATTGTTTCACTTAAGTCCACTGCTTGGCACAGCCACTACCGTAGGCCATGGAGAAACAGGAGAGGAGGTAGGATGGGGGGCAGGGACAGGGAAATGGCCGGTTGGTACAGCAGTGTGAACACATATAAGTGTTATTGATTATAGAAGCTGGGCTTAGAGCTCAGTGGTAGAGCACCTGTCCAGCAGGCATAAAGCCCTGGGCTTAGTCCTCAGCATCACACAAAAAAAGATGTATTGAYAAGTTCACCATCTTATATGGGCATGGGTCATGATGCCCCAAAACAATTACAACAGTAACATCAAACGTCACTGATCACAGATCACCATAAAGTGTGAAATATTGTGAAATTTACCAAAATGTGACAGGGAGCATATGTTTACTGGAGCACGTGCTGTTGGGAAATGGCCCAGGCAGACTTGCTGATTTGTTGCCACAAACTTTCAATTTGTAAAAAAGAAAGAAAGAAAGAAAGAAAGAAAAAAACTCAAGGAAGCAAAGAGCAATGGAAGGAGGCAGTCTGTCCACATAACTGGGGCAGTTCCAGATGGGTCTCTGCTGACTGTCTACTCTTCAGGGCTGGGCGATCCTTTTCTATTTCTTTCCAGGTAAAGTAATTTTGGATTATACACTGAACACTGCAGATGTCATCTTATGGAGCCAGTTCTGTTATGTTACTTCAATAGAGTACTGAGCTTTTTTGTCTTGTTTTGTAATAAGTAGTTAATCTAGCTGAATTCAAACTGTAAGATATTTCTCCATTGTAGGGATTAGCTAAAATATCAATTATTTTAGTCATAGGTGAGTTTCTTAGGCTTCCTTGTTGCACATGCATTTCAAGGATAAGCCAGAAATTTGGAAAGAGTTTATACACAAATTCTGAGCTCTCCCACCCTGGGCTCTCTTCTCTGGGGCATCCCCTCACTTCTCAGAGGCAGAGGCTGCCCAATTCGAGTTCTCTCATCTTAAGGCCAAAGCCATTACATATTTCTACCAGATCCGCAACTCTCTACATGGAGCAAAGTGTACCCTGCCCTTATTTCAACATCCTTTTTTGAGTAAAAAATTAAAAAGAAAAAGGAATTCACCATGCCCTTCTTTCAACGTTAAAAATACAGACTATTTCTTAGATCAGTTTTAGGTTCATAGCAAAACTGGCAGAAAATGGAGAATTTCCACAAACCTCCTGTGCTGATACCCAATCTCCTCCACCTACACCAGAATGGTGCATTTGCTACAATCGATGGGCCAAGACTGGCATATTATTATTACCCAGAATCCGTAGTTGACATTAGGGTTCACTCTTGGCGTTGTTCCTCTCACGAGTTCTGACAAATGCATGATAACAATGTGGCCTTCACTGTAGTATCACACAGAATAGTCTGTCCTAAACATCTCTGTGCTCCACCTATCCCCTCCTGCACCTAATCCTTGGAAACACTGTCACTTGCACTGCTGAAGAGTGTGCCTTTCCAGAATGATGAGCAGTTGTAATAACACAACAGGGACCTTCTCGGATTGGCATCTTTCACTTAGTGACATGCCTTCTTTCCACATTTGACACTCCCTCCCCAATGAACTGGGTTTGATCACTTTCCAATGTTTTTAGAGAATCATTTTGCCCAGAATTTATAGCTATTATCTGTGGGAAAGCTGATYTAATGTGAGCAATTCAACCATTAAGAGAAGAAAATTTAAATATAAATTGGCACCATTAACAGGAGTAAACAGACTTCTGATCACAGCCCAAGTCAGAGTGTATCTCAGATCAACCTGTACTTGGTGAATTTTAGGACTGGAGGTGGATCTTAATGGTCTTACTGTACCAACCAATAACAGATTCAACAGTGGATCCTAAGTCCATTAACATATAATGAAATACCATTATTTCATTACTTAAAATGTACCATTAAAAAAAAGATTCTGTTCTAAATATACATAACAAACCTGTCAAGGCTGTTTCACTTATAGATGTAATTTGCAGAAAAACTTCTCTTTTCAGTGAAGTCCAGTCTTGAAAATTATCATATATTTCATTTTTAATACTGGTTAGCTCCCTTTTAGTAAAAGTAAGTAATGAAAGAGTCTTATTCCAGAAATATTTGTACTCCGACAATCTTTGACTGCAAAGTAGTAAAATAAAAATTAGGATTTTTAAAAAAGTAAGAATAATAACAAATATTTCTTCAAAAAGTGGTTTTAGAGTGATCTTATAATTGTCTAAATAGAGACAATTTTGAAAGTGAAAGGAGATGTGATCATGTCATACTGAGACAGATAAAAACTGGGAGTATCTCATGTAGACAGAAGTATATGGCCATGCCAACTCATTTCCACTTTGCTATAATTTTAACTACAAAGAAAGGTAATGACCTTCATGCATATTTATTCTATTAATTTTTTACCCAACAGCAAACATTTAGAAAAGAAAATGTGGTCAGGGCCATTTGGTCACAGAGTCTGAAGGAGAACCTGGGACTCTGTGTGACAGTATTCTTCCCAGATTCATAGTCCCACAGGCAGTGTGAAACCTGAGGGCATAAAGGAACTTTTCAAGCTGACTGGCCCCAGGCTTGGCTTCATCATTTGCCACAACTCAAAATAATCACATGCTTTTGTCATCTCAGTAGCTTCTGCTACTTCAGATACCCTGGCTAGGGTTCCTAACGAATCAAGCAAGGTGATGACTGAAGCCCCAAAGTGAAGTCACCGGCCAGTGTCCATGGTCCTGAGTAGACACAAAGGTCTGAGTGTAGAACCATCACCTGTCTTTCTTATTGATGGCGTAGCATCCAGAACAGTGCCTGACCACAGTCTGTGCCCAACAATATGACAGAATGGAGGAGGGAGAAGTGCCAGGGACACACACTGGACAGCATGAACTGGTAAGCAACTGAAACAGAAGATCTGCCAGAGGAGACTCGGGACCAACCAGTGAGTCAGAAGGAAGACCCAAGGAATGGGGCAGAAGAGGCAGCATACTTCTAGAACAAAGCAGGGGCCAGCCCTACGGCCTCCGACAGAGGCTGGGAAGTTCACTGTGTCGAATATTAAGGAGACAGCTGATGACCTCAGAGAGGCATGAGGCAGGCAGGGCTGAGCCACAAGCAGAAGCAGGAAAACAGCCTGTGGCACCAGCTATCAAGATCTTGACTAGGAGGAAGGAGGGCAAGAAGGAACTGCATCACAGAATGGTGTGTCAGGTCGAGGAGAGTCAGTGTGGTGCAGGCACACAGGCTAAAGCCCAGCAAAGGGGGATCACTCCAAGGAAGGACAGACAGAAYGGAGGCTGAAGGAGGATAGTGTGCTCCATCCAGCTGACCAGAGCCTCAGGGAGGACACCCTTCCTCCCCCGCCAAGTTCGGCATGGTCAAGACAGATACTGGCTTCAGAGGGCAGAGAAAGCATCAAAACAGGGAGCCAAAGGGAAGGGGAGCAGCCTGGATTCGGCAAGACTAATGCCGAGGTCGGGGGAGAAGACAGGGGGAACAAGGGCAGAGCCAAGTGGAGGCCACGTGCACACAAGGGCATCAGGGCCAAGGGCAAATGAAGAGAAGGGAAGACTGGTGTGGGTGGGGGTGCCTCTGCAACGGGAGGTGAGAACAAGGCTCAGCTCATCAACCAAGAGGTCCAACTGTGAAGGGCCTGAGCCCACATGGTTTTCCTGGGGAAAAGGCACTAAAACGATAACTACAAAATTAGGTTTCAAAGCATGTAATTATTTATACAATGAGAAAAATCACTACAAATAAAAATTTTAAAGTTGATAAATCTCACTAACRTTATAAAATACAAGAAAAGAATGTACCTTTTAAAATGTCCTACAACACTTTTTGCTTATGTTTTTAGCCATAAGCTCCATAAATGGCTCAAAAAAATGAATTCTTTTTGAATGCTACTGTAAGTGGTGAGGACAGAGACCACACAGCCTTGCCACTGGCCTGGCCACGGGATGGCTTGTGGTTTTAGTAATAGTAGTTTAGAAAGATCTTTCAGCTTCCAAGATTATTAGTAATGCCACATAAGTATTTAGTGTTGTCAAATTTGGGGAAATCCTCATCAATTTTTTATATACAATTATAAGCCTTTTGTTGTTTCAAGTTTCTTCAAAAGTGACTAATCTTATATTTTCTTTAAAATAACAAAATTCATGRGCCACTTTATCTCGATGTCACCTTGGAAATAGTACACTATGATTTTTGCATTCAGTATGTTAGAAAMTGTTGTCAAATTAGCAGGAGACAAACCTTCTCCAATGAATTTGAATAATTAACTTCTCTTCACTGGATTATCAAATAATCCAAGAACTTTTATTGAAAATTTATCACTTTTATATAATCTGAAAAATTATTATGATTTGGTTTATGCCAGAAATTTTTCTATTGTTTAAATTGCTCTACATTGCTTTTACTTCATTAATTTTAAAAAATTCATATGCATCCAAATTTTTTGTCTGCAATTTTTTGCTTGTTTTATTGAAGCTATTCTAAAATAKCTTTCCAAATGGCAATTATAATGGTGTGCTCCCAAGTCACCTCTCCCTTACTGAAACTCCCATGCCTGTCACTACTGACGTCAGAAGTAGGACAGAAGGGAGAGCAGGGTGGAGGCAGAATATTTAAATGACTGGAAACTAACCATCTTAGTTCATCCTGGACTCCCAGGACCTTAGAAGGAAGACTTGAGTGAGAGTTTTGAAACTGAAGCATCATCTGATTCATCAATCTGTCTCAGTCGGCAACCTTCTCTGTGTAATAACAGGCAGACACACACATCTAAACAGGGCTGATGAGGGAAACAGTGAGGATTCTTCACTGAGGACCAGGGACTTACCTGCAGGCAGGTGTCAAGACTGAGGATTTTAAGGATAAGGACAATTGAATAAGTAGAGGTAAAAGGGCTTGGAGAACTAGGAGCCTCCTTTATATAGAAAAACCTAATTCCCGCACCAACCAAACACACACTAGAACCAGAAAACAACCTCATCAAGGTTGCAAGGCGCAAGCTGCACATGCAGAAAAAAGCAAYTTTATTTCTATATGTTAGCAATAACAAATCCCCAAATAAAATCAGAAAATAGGGAAACAGTTGCATTTATAGTAACACAAGAATAAAACATTAAAAATAAATGTAGGGGGGCTGGGGCTGTAGCTCAGTGGTAGAGCACTTGCCTTGCATGTGTGAGGCCCTGGGTTCAATCCCCAGCACCACATAAAAATAAACAAAGATATTGTGTTCAACTACTACTAAAAAAAAAAATTTAGTTAAAAAAAAATAATTGTAGGGGCTGGGGCTAGGGCTGAGCAGTAGAGCACTAGTGTCGCATGTGTGAGGCCCTGGGTTCGATCCACAGCACCATATAAATAAAATAAAAAGATATTGTATCCATCTACAACTAAAAAAATATTTTTAAAAAGTTAGAAATATGCTAATGATGAAAATAATATAGTTAAAAAAGAAAAAATAAGTGTAATAAGAGAAATATTAAAAAATAGAACATTTCAGAGAGAAATAAAGACCTCCACTGCAATAGATAACATCTATTAAGTAAAATATTCAGTACTTTAAAGATGGCAATTCTGCACAATTGAATTGATCACCAAACTTACTGAAGAGACTGCCAGGCTGACCCTATGTGCAGATGAAGTGCAAGGGAGAGGGCAATGCACCTCTGAAAACAAGAAAGCTGCAGGACTTACAGCTCCTGTTTCCAGGTGCACTGAGGCTAGCGTTCAGAGAGGGAGCGCTGACACAGAAACAACACAGTGCAAGGAGGTGTCCTCTCCGTTCACAGTGAGCTGATTTTGGCTAACGATGTCCATGCAGCCCAACAGTTCAAGAAGAGTCTGTTGACAGTGGTGCTGGAGAGACTGAATATCCACATAAGAAAAGATGAGTTCAGATTCTTGCCTCATATACAAAGTTAATTCAAATGGATCCTAGACCTGAATGTAAGAGCTGAAACAATAGAACTTTAGAAGAATGATGTTTGTGACTTTTGCTTAGGCAGTTCAATGTATCACCAAGGTACAGTACACAAAAGAAAACAGAAGTTATATTTCATCAAAAATAAAACTTTTGCTCTTCAAAAGCACCACTAAGAAAGTGAAAAGATAAGTCACAGATGGGGAGAAACTAACTGCAAATCATGTTTCACAGAGAGGACTTTTACCCAGAACACACCAAGAACTCGTCCAGAACCATCACCAGGAAACAAGCAAATTAAAAAATGGACAAAATATTTAAGTAGATATTTCATCAACTAAGATACACCAATGGTTAATAAGTGTATCAAACAATGCTCAGCATCACCAGTCAAGAAGAAAACAAATGGAATCCCCATGAGATGCTATTTCTCATTGTAATTGCATTGTAATCCACAAGACAGACAACAGCAAGTGTTGCTGAGAACCCTCATTCCTGGTGGGACTATAACTGTGTAGCCACTTCTGAAACAGTCTGGCAGTTTCTTAAAAAGCTAAATATAAGTTAACCATAAGACTCAGTAATTCTGTACTTAGACATCTACCCCAAAGAAATGAAAACTTACATCCACACAGAGATTTGTAGGTGAATTTTTATTTCAGCATTATTCATAAGCATCAGCATGTGGACACAATCCAAATGCCTGCTGATGTAAAATGGTAGATAAATGTGGCATATCCATACAATGGAATACTATTTAGCAATAAAAAGGGAAATCACTGATAAATGCCACAACACAGATAAATCTCAAAAAAAAATTACTAGTGAAAGAAGCCGAATGTAAAAGACCACATATCATATGATTCTATACATCTTAAATGTCCAGAAAAATACAACTCTATAGGAACAGGAAAGTTAGTGATTACCTAGGACAGGGGCGGGGGTGGAGGGGTTGGGGGGGGACTAAGAACAGAGATTTACTATAAATGGCAGGAGTCTTTCTTTGGGGTGATTCAAATGTTCTAATATTGGTAACAGCTGTACAACTCTTGGACTTAGTAAACATTATTAAATTGTCCACTTAAAATGGGTCTATTTTGTGGTACATAAATTATATCTCAATGAAGGTGTTTTTTAAAAGATGCGGGGTGGGCTGGGATTGTGGCTCCATGGTAGAGTGCTTGCCTTGCACATGTGAGGTACTGSGTTTCATCCTCAGCACCACATAAAAATAAATACAAATAAAGATATTGTGTCCATCTACAACTAAAACAATATTTTTTTAAAAAGATGCAGGGTAATAAACTATGGGATCAAGGTTAGAAAATAAACCAAAAGCTACAACATGGTTGGGAAAATGAGAAAAAATACATGAAGTCTTAACAAGACTGAAGAATTGAAGGAAAAGCGAGAGAGCTTAGAGTTGGCATTGAACATTCAAGAGATGACAGAGCCCAGATTTCAAATCAAAAAATTAAAGACTATTTTATGTTTCAATTAACTTATGAAAGATTTTCAACAAGAGTCTCTAAAAGTATGCACTGCCGGAAAGTTTCAACTGTGGAGGTGTGGGGTACCTGATATCCATGGTTTAGTATCTAGCTGCAGGCCTTCTCAAGCTGCTTGTCATTCTCAAAAGCATGTCTATGTGGACAGTGGATGCACGGAGCCCACAAGGCCTACTCTCTCTGYTCCTGCTCACTGCTGCAAGAGCAGGGCTGTGAACCAGGACAGCCTGRAGAACACTTTGCTGGAGGCGATTAACGAATGAGAGAAGCCTCTAAAGAGAGCACTGTGACCCCAACACAGATGACTGATCTGTTCCAAGTTCCTTGAGAATTCATAAAAGAGGTGATCACCACTAAGGGAAGAGCTCAGCATTCTTTCCCTTGCCTGTTTCAGAAAGATTACAATTATAGCTCCTTTTCTTTATCAGAACAATCACCAAGTTTCATGTTCTAACAGATATTTTTAAATGATCATAAAATAATTTAAAATCAGCTTTTAATGTGCAATAAAAGTCACTGAAATTTACCACCTTTGGTTAGTTTTATTTTTACAGTATGCCTTTTCCTATGCATGCATCTACCAATGAAAATATAAATAAAACCACTAATTATCTGCATTCTTTAACACAAACTTTTATTTGTATTAAATGTCTAGCTGGATGATTATTCCAAAGTTGTTTTTAGCATGTACTATTTTTTTATATATCAGATCCCAGACTCCCAATATGTGACAACTTTTTGGCTAAAAATAAACAAAAATCACAGATTTATAGAAAACATGTGAATGAACTAAGCAGTTAAAAGTATAACTCTGCTAGGGACAGAGCAAGGCCCAGGGTTCAATCCCCAGTACTGTTAAAAAATAAAATAAAATATAAAATGAAATAACTTTGAAGTATGTTATGTCTAACTTTCAAGAACTATACAAATGTGAATAATGAGGATCACTTATACCTGTTCTACAGTATCTTGAAGCCACAGTGATAATGTCATATACTCCTGGTCCAACCTTCAAACGCAGGGGGTCCCACCATCCATGATGGCACTAGTGGTTAAAACAACCGCTTCATCCATGACAGACCTGGGTGGCCCAGAGTTCATGTAGGAGCCAAGAATGGATACCAATGGTCCTGAATAAAATAGAAGTGTGGCCACCTGGACAGTACTATCCTGCTGGCTCACTACCAGATTTCTATAAAAGGCTAAAGGGATTTTTTTCTTTCTTTCTTTTTTGTTTTGGTTTTGGTACTAGGGATTGAGCCCAGGGATGCTTAACCACTGGGCCCTATTCTCATCCCTTTTTATATTTTATTTAGAGACAGGATCTCACTGAGTTCCTTAGGGCCTAATTAAGTTGCTGAGGCTGGCTTTGAACTTGCAACACTCATGCTTCAGCCTCCTGAGCTGTTGGGATTACAGGCATGAACCACCACCCCCAATGGCTAAAGGGATTTTTGATAACAAAAATGGGCATCTGTGTTCTTAGTAGATTTCACTCATTCATCCATTTCTTCAAAAATTACTTACTGTGCAAAGCATTTATGAAAGGTAGATGGCCAGGAGTTTATCACCAAATAATGCATTAAAAAAAACACTAGCCCAGTGAATTTTATTAACAGAATGTTTCTGGTAATAATTAATAGATTAAGAACAAAAACCTAACATTCAAAATATCCAGCATGATTTTAGTTATCCTGAATCTGTATCACTTGCCATGTTAATTTAATGTGTTTTGAGCTAAAAGTTATTCAAAATGCAAAAGGAATCATTCTTTCTCATAAATGTTCTCAATATAGTCAATGCTACTTTCACTTATTTATTATTTCTATTTACACTGGGGGATGGAACTAATGGGTGCTCTCCCCTGAGCTACATCCCCACCCCTTCTTATTTTGTTTTTGAGACAGGGTCTCACTAAGTCACTCAGACCAGCCTCAAATTTGCAATCCTCCTGTCTCAGACTCCTAAATTGTAGGGATTAGAGGCAGGTGCCAGCATGCCCAGCTTCGGTGTAATTTTTAAGAAAAAAATGTACTCAGTAGTTTGTTTAGATCATTGTATTTTATCTAAACAGCATATAAATCTGGGAGTGGTGGCACATGCCTGAAATTCCAGCAGCTCAGAAGGGTGAGGTAGGAGGATCTTGAGTTCATAGCCAGCCTCAGCAACTTAGGGAGGTCCTAWGCAACTCTGCAAAAGTATTTCTCTAAATAAAATATAAAAAGAGAACTAAGATGTGGCTCAGTGGTTAAGCACCCCTGGATTCAATGCTCAGTACAAAAAAAAAAAAAAAAAAGGACTATGTGTGTGTTATACTCCTGTAACTGCCCTAACCCTTTCCCTCTTCTCATCTTCCAGATAGATAGATAGATAGATAGATAGATAGATAGATAGATAGATAGATCTGCAGAAAGAACAACATTTATGTTAGAGACTCCTAACTTTGGGAGGTTTAGTATTAATATTTAGCAAGTTATCCTCTTCTGTCACATTTTATCTGGAGATCAAATACACCAGGGAACACTGATCCAAAGAAACAAAGTAGCTACTGTGTTTTTATTTTATATGTCACTACAAAATAAGAAAAACAAGGTGTTTGCCCAATTTAAATTTTATTAGTGAAACTATTCAGTTGCTATATGGTTCCAAAAAAAAAAAAGCAAAGCTATTTGCATTTTTCTAAATCATACCAGATACACAAATCATAATACTAAAATATATTTAAATTTTCATAATAAAGTTAGTATTAAATGTATCTTTTAAATTTTTATAATTTTTAACTCTTTAAGTATGATCTTACCTGAAGACTTGTGATAGTCTATGTTTGATTTTTAATTCATGTTGCAAATGACTCAGTTCTTTATGTACTCTCTGATATTCAGTTTGTTGACTTTTTAGCTGTATGCTTGCATCCCAAATTCTAAAAATATAAACAAAATAACATCTGTTACAACCTTAAATAGTCCCAAGTGAAAATTGTTTTAAATTAAAATATAAATATACTTTTAATAAAAATAAGTAGAAAAAAAAGATGCATCTTTATACATACTCTATAAATGTATAGAAAAAAAATATGGAGAGAAACATGCCAACCAGCCAAGATTCCTGGACGGAAAGTGGAACTTATAGGTGGACAAAAAGAAAAAGAATGAGTGGGCTGAGGTTGTGGCTTAGTGGTAGAACACTTGCCTAGCACGTGTGAGATACTGGGTTCGATCCTCAGCACCACATGTAAATAAAAAAAAAAAAAAGGTCCATCAACAACTAATAAAATTTTTTTTTAAAAAAGAGAAAGAATGAGGAAGAAAAGTAGAACTTTTACTCTATGTGCTTTTGTACTATTCAAATTTTCAGAGATCATGTTTTCATAAATATTAATTAAAATATAAAGTATCAAGTATTTTGTTAAAGTAATTTAAATTTAAAATGTCATAATGGGGGCTGGCATTGTGGCTCAGTGGTGGAGCACTGGCCTAGCATGGGCAGGACCCTGGTTCGATCCTCAGTACCACATAAAAAATAAAGGCATTGTGTTGTGTCCATCTACACCTAAAAAAATATATATATTAAAAAATAAAATGTCACAATGATTTTAAATGTCAAATATTACTAAAAAGGTCATAATAAAAAATAGCAATTATTTGCCTTTACCCAGTTCCCACTGCCAGTGGCAACCACTTTCAATTTTTTTCCTGTTTTTTTYCCCTACTATTTATCTCCACATTATTAAATAATAAATTTATACTGTTGTTGTCTAATATTCATTTTAATATTACCTAGTAAATTCAAAGTCAGTTAAGATCCAGTTCTGCTATATATAACTAAGACTGGAATCTTATTGCACACACACACAATCTCACAAAGGACAAGTCCCTTGGCAGCCAGTGTGATGCTGACGTGATAGCTTACATTTACAATGTAACAAGTCTCTGCTCCACCCTCTTTATTCCCATGGACCTCCATGGAGGAAGAAGCTCCAGCGCTTTCATTCCCATTCCAGATGATCAGCAGGAAAATAATGGCTTACTCCATACACCATAAGATCCTCAGCATCACATATACTGAATACTGCTACAGAATTTAGTCATGTGGCCTCACCTAGACTTGGGTGAAATAAAGCTGGGACACAGTGTTCATTACAGGAAGATGAGCCCCCAAGTGTATTCACAGTCCTGTTACTAAAATGGGATGGAAAACAAATGTTGGGGTTGGTGGCTAATAAAAGCTGACCCCCCTACTCTCAACTACACACCTGTACCTGCCCCTGACCATTCCTCTCCTCTCATCTTCCCAAGATTCAATCCATCATTTTTATTAAAGAACTTATTAAAACACTGTTCTTCATTGGTTAACCAACATTATGTCATGATTATATTTATATTTTTATACAGCTTTTTGCAATTAAAAATGGCATTTGCTGGTAAATGGATGAAACTGGAGATTATCATGTTAAGTGAAATAAGCCAATCCCAAAAAAACAAAGGCTGAATGTTCTCTCTAATATGCAGATGCTGACTCACAATAGGCAGCAGGGAGGAGGGGTGGAGGTTCACTGGATTGAACAGAGGGGAAAGCGGGGAAGAGAGTGGGGATGGGAATGGAAAAGACAGTGAATGAACAGGACTTAACTTTTCTATGTTCACATATGAATACATAACCAGTGTAACTCCACAAGAATAGGAAGCTATACTCCATGTATGTGTGATATGTCAAATGCATTCTACTGTCATGTATAATTAAAAAGAACAAAAAAAATTTTAACAGTCTTTTCTTTTTTCTTAGTGTTGTGTATCTATCAAGGCTTCTTAACATGCTAAACTGGGAGAAGCTGTTTTTGCAACTCTGTGTAAGTCTAAAATTATTATAAAATAAAAAATTATAAAAAGGATGATTCCTACATATACAATGAGTGATTTATGTAAGTAAAACATGTCCATTATTTTAAATATAGAAGTTATCAATATTGGGGGCTGGGGTTAYGGCTCAGAGGTAGGGCGCTCACCTAGCATGCGTGAGGCACTGGGTTCAATCCTCAGCACCACATGAAAATAAAATAAAGATATTGTGTCCACCTGTAACTAAAAATAARTGTTAAAAAATTATTAATATTGTTTTAACMGAAAAAATAAAAGGAAATAACCTTCTGGCCAATCTTAGATGAACAACAATAAAAAAATTGTAGTCCTGTGGAATATTATATACAAAACATTAAATACAAAAGAGGAATGAAGCAGATCCCTATGTCCTAGCCTGGGAAGCATGGCAAGACTTCTCATTAAGGAGAGAAAAAAGAAAACTGCAACGTACTGTAACTTATAGATCAATAAACACAACATGAAACCAAGTTCTATATATTCATTAATACATTTAAAATTTTAGAAAACAGGAACAACCTTAGCAATGTTAAGTCAGAGTTACCCCTAGGACATCATACCAATCGGGTGGGAAGGAGGTTCAAAGGGCCTATAGTATTTGCCACAATATTTGAAATACTTTACAATGAAGATATATTTATGTGTTGCTTGAAAATCTAAAATCAGAATTTTTTTAAAAACCTACATGGAGTCAGGCACAGTGCCATATACCTGTAATCCCAGCAGCACAGGAGGCTGAGGATGGGGGGATCACAAATTTGAGGCCAGCCTCAGCAACTTTAGCAAAGCCCTAAGCAACTTAGTAAGACACGGTCTCAAAATAAAAAATAAAAAGGGCTGGGGATGTGGCTCAGTGGTTGAACACCCTTGGGTTCAATCCCAGTACCAAAACAAACAAACAAACAAAAAAACAAACAACCCTATCTGGTCTTATTGTTTGTGTATAAGCATGTCTCAGGTTTATAAATGGGAAAATATCTAGAAATATTAGAAGGAAACTTAAGTTTATATAACACATTGGTGAATAATAAGCTGTTTTAAGGTAAGTATTAAACTTTCCTTGATACTGCCCTACTCCAGGACTGGGGTACAGCTCAGTGGTGGAGCACCTGCTTAGCAGGTTCCAGGCCCTGTTAGCTGGGTGTGATGGCACATGTCTGCAGACCCAGCCACTCAGGATTGAGGCCAAACTTGAGACCTTGTCTCAAAAAACAAAACATCTAAATAAAAGCCTATTCCAACTATTATGAGTTTTCAGTTTGTATTTTTACAAAACACTTTTTTTTTTTTTTGTCATTAGAAAAATGCACACTAARACACTTTCCAAGGTCCATCTATGAAGACATTTTTGGAATGAAAGTCAGGCCTGAGTAACACCCCAGCCCTCTGACTACAGTCCTGAGAAGCTTGATCACCTGGCCTCTGCGTTGGCTATGGTAGCATACTTGCTTTCTTCATATCGAATACTAGCATGGTTACAAACTACGTGAGCAGAGAAGCAGCAGTGTCCACCTGGACTGTATGTATCAGGTCAGCTTTATGAAGTAAACAGTTCACAGAATGCTGCAATACGGTATGTGCTGTGCAAGCCACAGCTTTTTCTGAGCAGTCATGATTTTGCACAGAGTTTGAATGCTTTGTTGACATGAGGACATGATGTTGTCTAGTCAGGCACTGTTCCTGAAAACTGTGAGACTAACAGCATGTTCCAGTGGAGAGTCCTGTACTGGAGTGAGATGACCTGTACTGTAAGCCTCTTGCCAATGCAGCTATGAGAACAGCACATTTATTACCCTTATCTATTTCCCAGTTTTTCTTAGTCAACTTGATTAAAATAGATTGTGAGAATTTCTGAGTTGTAAAACAAAGGAGAGGAATATATTATCAAGCCTTTTAAATCATTTTCATTTTGATTATCTATTAATATTACTCATAATAAAATTATTCTAAAGAAAAACATTTTAACATCAAATATTAGGGGGAAAAAGATGATCCCATCATTAGGCATCTTAATCTATTAGGCACCTGTAATCTATGCTCTTTTTTTTGTCAATCTCGGGGGTGTAAATATTAATTTGTTTTTAGTCTTTCCCTCAGACTGGTTTTGCAGCAATCAAAGTTGAGAGATGGAAGTTCAAAGTCTGGAAAAATGATGTGGGAGACATTCAGGCTTGCATTCTACCAAGGTCTCACAGGCGCAGGCATCCAAGTATCAAGGGAAAGTTAGGAGCGCAACAAAGAAATCAATCAAAACAAGCAGGCACTTCAGTTGCTGGGAAATAAACTTCAGAAACCCACATACATCTGCCCATGAGGACAAGCTGCTCTCTAACTGCTCCCCTGGAGTTAACCACCGCCTGAGGACAGTGAGAAAAGTGAATTCTGAGTCAAGAGAATAGGGGATGGGGTGGAGAGTCCAAGTCCTTCAGAGAGAGAAATCACTTAGGGTTCAATAAAACTGGAAGGAACTCTTATTCAGCAGAGAAGACATGAGTGGAAACCAGGCTGCTTTAACTGTTTTCACAAAAGCTACTGCAGCTTCAGCAATACCAGCAGGAGCAAGCACTGGACCAAGAATGTTACTGACATATGAGCCTATGRGACATCAACAATTTTTAAAACAAAATTATCTGTAAATACAAATACTCAATTTCCTTAGGAGTGGTATTACCTTACTTTTATTTAGAAAATTGGTGTGACATTCAAAATTCCTACAAAATTCTTAGTTACTAAACTATATCCTTTTGTTAGGATAGTCTTAATTTTATAGCAGTCATTCTCCTTTATGTACATTATTAATGCACTGAAAGTACCCAAAAAGGTAGGAGAAAGGTATCTTGCACTAGACAAAATCAACACTGCTTTTTAAATTAACCTCATGTAATTAATTTCATTGGAGCTTTATTTGGTCTTTGATTATTCACTTACTTTCCTCTGGTCTCTTTAATACGCAGATACTCAATTAAAATAACAGATCTTTCTTTGATTAAATATAGTATTCTTCAGTTTCATTAACACAGAAGCAGAAGTTAAAAATATTAACTCT